GCCCGGGAAGAGCACGAGGTCACCTGGCGGTCTGGGGCAGGGGCGCGGGAAGGGCCCGGAGCCTGCGATCCCCACCCCTCCTTCCCTTGCCCGTTCCCAGCTCCCCTTCCTCCGCCTCCCTCTCTCGTCTTCCCCGCCTCTGTGCTGTCCGCCGCTCTTCGTGCCCACGGCGCCCACTCCCACCCGGCCTCTCCGCGTCTCCCTCCGACACGCTTCCACATTTGTGGGTCCGTTTCTGCATCTCCGGTCTCTGCACGTGTCTCCCCCCGTCTCTCCGCCCTCCCCGCGCCTCTGTGCCCCGCCCCCTGCGGTCCCCGGGGTCCGCCCCCGCCTCCACCTGCCCCTGCCCCTTCCCCGAGCCGCCTCCGTGCACAGCGCCGCGAGCCTCGCTAATGCGTTTCGCATGGCGCGTCAGTCAAACGCCCTTCTAATGTCCTTAAAGCACGCAGAAAATTGCATCCTTATGAAAAAAAAGCAAATTGCCTGGTGGAGGCGGAGCTGCCGCGGGGCTCTGGCGGCCGCGCGCCGAGTTCGGAGGGGCTGGGCTGGCGGAGGCGCCGTCCCCGGGCTCCCAGGGCTGCAGGGCGAGGGAGCCAGGATGCCGCCTTCCGGGTAGCGCCTGGGCCCACCGCCTCGCCCCTCACCCACCACCCTTGATCACCTCTCCACACTTGTTTCCTCCACTCTGACCCAGCCCCTCCCCCTGCCGGCCTTTACGGCCAAACTCCTAACTGCCTCAGGACCTTTGCACTTGCTCTGTCGGCTGCCTGGCATACATTCCTTCAGGTCGCAACTGAAGGGTCAGCTCCTGACAGAGATCCTCACTGACCACGCACACTAAAGCCACCCTCCCACTCACTGTCTGTCACATGCTTTATTTTCTACAAGGCATGTGTGACTCTCTGAAATCATTTTGTAGGGTTCATTGTTGCTCCTTTGGGGCCTACCCAAGTCCCCTCACCTCCACTATCCATGGGTCAGAGGCTGTATGCCCCATGCCTAGCACAGTGCCTGGCACACACACACGGCAGGCATTTAATAAATAGTGAACAAGTGGACATACTCATTCTGGGCAGGTGGAGACTGTTGGGGACCCTAAGGCATCTGGGACACCCCGAGCTTAACCTCAAGGCTGCTGGCCAAGCGGCAGTGGAGACCCACAGAGGTGAAGTTAGATCCCAATTCTGCTACTAATAGTTGTGTGTCCCTGGGCCAGTTGCCTAACACCTCTGAGCTTTATCTTCATCTGTAAAACTGGAGTAAGGCACCCACCTTACTGGGCTGTCACTGGATCCACATAGGGAAAGGGCCTGCGTCACAGTTCTGGGAACTGCCTGCCACACTCAGTAACTGCTTTGTTAAATGAATAAGTGGCCCACGGAAGGGCTTGGTTAGTATCAGGGTCCATGCTGCCACCGAGGCCAGACAGTGATATTTCCGGAAGCGCTAAGAAAGAGAATGTGTGGAGACATTGCCAATAGAGTTATGACCCAATGCCTTTATGTCGCCAGAATTTTTATGTTATACTTACTCAAAGATCTTTTTTGGGCCTATTCACACCTTGACCCCCCCTCCCCCCACCAGATCTCTAGTGATAAAAAAGTATTAGGGAAATCAGTGGCTTGAGGTGTTCCTAAAACTCCTCTGAGGTCAGAGCTGCCTCTGAACTCGTGCCATCCTGCAGCCAAAATCCTGAGCCCCTTGGCCTCTGCCCAGAGGGTGATCTGCTCCCTCCTCCTTGCACCTCAAGGAAGGTCTCCCCTCCAGCTGGCTTCCTGGCTCTCTCCATGGAGGGGGGGAGGAGTCAGCGCACCTGCTGCAGGGACAGTCACACCCTGCAGACACAGGGCTCACAGTGCCCTGGACACCTCCCCCCAAACTGTCGTATGAACTCAGATTTCAGAAAAGGGAAGATGTTGTCTTAAACTTGATGACATTCAGTAATAGGGTATAAGAACTAGGAAGGGGACTTTTTAAGTCGTAGAAGGGAGAGGCGCCTCACTGGGCCTTACTGCAGACAGGAGGAGGACCTGCCTTTCACTGTGCCCTGTGTCCAGGGCCCAGGGACCTGGTCAGCAGAGCCAGACTGACTGCATGCACGGCCCTGACTCTTTGGCCACCTTTCTGCCCCACTCCCTAAAGTGGGGAGGCGGTGTTTGAGAGTTTTTTCTCTTCCAACTTATGGGTTCCCACCAGTGGCCTCCAGGAGAACTCCGAACAGGGAAAGAGTTAAGCCAGAGTAAACTTTATATTTAACAAAGTTGTGCGGCGTGGGGAGGCCCCGCTCCCGGCTGCACCTGTCACGTCCTGGCGGTGTCGGCTCTGGGAGGAACCTGGGGAGGGGTTGCGGGCCTCAGGGCCCCTCGATCGGACCACCCTCTCCCCAAACGCTCCGGTGTGCCTCCCGAGCTGGGGTCCCGCTTCCACCGACGAGAACGACTTGCTCAGGATCGGGGTCACAGTCCCCCTCCCCGGTTTGGCCCTGCAGCCAACCCTCCCCCAAAGTCTCCCCTACTGCCCAGCCCCGCCAACCCCCCTTCCCTCCGCCCCGGAAGCACGGAAAGCGCAGATTTGACGGCCGTAGCCCGACGCGGCTACCGGGCTAACCCGGCGCTGCTCAGCCCTCGGGCGGTCCCCGGACCTTCCAGCCGGAGGGTCCCTGCTGCCGCGGGCGCTCCCCCAGCCCCCGCCCCAGCGCCGCGGCTCTCGCGAGACGCCCGAGCCCGCTCCCTCCCCCGGCCGCCGGCCGCCGGCCCTGCGCTCCCGGGGCGCAGCCGCGACCTCGTTCGCCCCCGCAGTCCCGGGGTTGTGTTTCCCAGGACCTTGGGCGGAGAAGACATTCATGCGGCCAGGGAGCGGGGAGGGGGCGAGGAGACCGTGCCTCCCCGCCGCCGGGCCTACGGTGAGGGGCGCGCGTGCTGCTGGGCCGGGAGGGGCCTGTGCGCGGGGTGGCTTCCCGCGGACGCACCGCGTCACCTCCGTGGGGAGCATGAGGCCCTTTTCCCGGAGTCGCGGCGCTGCGGGCTGCGGGCTGCGAGCCAAGTCTGGGGCGCCGTGGCACGTCGTGGCTTCTCCAAGAAGGGCTGAGCTCCCTCCCGAGCTGCCCGGCCGGCTGCCCCTTCCCCTGCCCACCGAGGGGCACAGCGGCGCAGGCAGTGCCGGGAACCCCTCCCACCGCCGCCCGCACTGGGGGTCCAGCTCCCCCTCTGACGGGCTGGCGACCTCTCGACAGCAGGGCCTGCTCAGCCTCCCCATCTGCGTCTGGAGGGTCTGCCGTCGCTGGAATATTGGGGCCCCTGTGCTCTGGCTCCCAATTCGCCAGACGGCCCCCTCCCCCCAAGCCCTCGTCCCTCGAGGCCCTTCCGTGCAGTCCAGTGAGGGGGCTGCCTTGGGGAAACGCCGCAGAAGCGCAGGGCGGTCTGCCTAAGGCCGCATTCCTCAGAGTGAGTCCAACCTGGGGCCCCAGAACTGACTTGGAGGAGTGGGTCAGAACCCCTCCTTCTCTTCTCTTGGATCCTCCTTCCTTCTACAGCTCCCCGCGGCTGACAGAGGCTGTAGCCGGAATCTGCACCCAGGGCCCAATCGGGACAAAACTTGCGGGACCTTCTCTTTCCTCCCCTCTGAAGTGGAGAGACGACACACAGCCGCGCCCCTCGCTGTGCTGCTCTGGGCTTGGGGCAGGAAGGTCACCGCCCACTGCCACGTGTAGCCACCTGGGGGTAACCCTCAGGGCCGGAAGGGATCAGCGGGGCGGCCTACACTGCACATCCGATCCCTCCCGCGCGCCTGAGCCGCGCAGGGTTTCTCCTCGGGACGCCGGCCAGCGAGTGGGCTGGAAGCTGTTTGCAAGGTGGAGCTAACAGCCTTTGAGCTCGTTTCCCTGAGACCTGGCAGGGCTGGCGCGCGTGGAGAATTGTCTGCAGCCCTCAGAAAGAACCCACTCTCTCACTCCCCCCAGCCTTGACCGTGCGCCCGAGGTGCTCCCGGACTGGAAAGCCAAGCGCTGATTTCCCCAAGGAACGCTCAAGCTGCGATTTGAAGGAAGTCGTCGCCACCACAGGTGGAGGCCATAACTGTCGTTTTCACATTCGGAGATGCAAAACCTGAATCCTCTGTCCCCCGTATTTGTGCCTGGAGGACTTGGTCCCGCTTGGAATTCGGCAGGACCAATATGGGGCCTCTCCCTGAGCTTTAACCGGCAAGTGGCCATCTCTCCATCCCCATGCCCTGCTCTTTGTCCTCGTAGGAAGTGCAAGGACTGGAACCCACAGGCCTGCCCAGTACAACCTAGAGGGTCAGAAGTCAGCTGAAGCTTTCCCGTGAGGAGAGGGCACCGCGGGCACAGGCCGCCAAGCTGCACCCCTGGAAAGGGCGCCCTGCGAGAACTGGGGAGGCTCTCCGTCCTCTGCCTAGGTCAGGTGCCCTCGCTGCCGGAGTCCGACCTCGGGGCTAGGCGCTGCCGCTGAGCCTGTACTACTCAAAACGTTAAGACCTGGCGGCAGGCCCCGTTGCAGCCGGCTGGCGCGCCTCTGTGTGCATCTCGAATCCCGGGCTCCCCGTCGGCCTCACGAAGAGCGCCCGGGACCATCTCGAGGACTCACAGGCGGTTCTTCAAGTCCCTGGAGACGGAGCCAACAACCGGAGGTGGCTCTCGGCCCCGGGACACTTCCGGAGCCAGCTCCACCGTGGCCTGGGGCTCCTACGCCTCTGCCAGACCCCTGTGTAGCCCGGCTGCTACCGCGGGAGCCCTGGCCTGGGAGGAAAGGGGAGGAGGCTCGCCCTGGCCCCTCACACCGAGAGGAAGCGATTGCTGGGATCCTGCAGCAACTGCGCCGCCTGCCCTGCCAGTCTGAGCCCGTGGGGCAGGTCACAGTTCACTCCCGCGAAGCCCAGGGAGAGGATGTTTCGGAAGCCAGGGCGAGTGTCCCTCTTACGTCGCCGCGACCCCCCCTCCTCCAGCCCCGCAGACTCAGAAACCCCTTCATCAAGACCCGCTGTGTCATAAAATATTTTATTGGAAAAAAATCACTGTCTTCGCAAGAGAGGGGTAGGAGCCCCAGCGCCGGGGGGGACCCGGCCTCAGCGTAGAGCCGCCGGGCTGTCAGGGCGCCCTATCGGGCCATAGTGACCTGAGCCGGGCAGCGGGGTCCCCGACGGGGCGGAAGCGAGTGTGTGCCGGTGGCGTCAGGACGCGGAGGGCCGGCCGAGGCGGGTGGGGGTGCGGGAGAGGAGCGGGGCGTGAATGCGCGCGGAGCCCCGGGCCCAGGCGCCCGTCCGCCGTGCCGGACGCGAGTCCCCAGGCCAGGGCTGGGAGCGCACTGGGGCCGGGCTTGGCTGCAGGGTCTGTGTCCTTTCTCGCTTGGCCCCTAACTGTCCGCATTCAAGGTAATCATAAAACGTTTAGAAAGCAAACGGCGTGGCCGTGGAAGGGCCGGCTCGCGGCTTCCAGCGGGCGGAGGGGGCCTCGGGCGACGCTTTGGGCGCTCAGTCCTCGCGGCTCCTGTCGATGGTCTCGCCTGGCGCCTCCGCCGGCTTCTCCGCCTCCTTGGCGCGCTCCTGCTCCGTGAGCTGTTCGCTCGTGGGAATGGAGTTCTTCTTGGGCCGCCCCTTGGGCTTGGTGGGAGACTCCAGGCCGCCGCCCTGCAGCACCTGCGCGTAGGATGGCCGCACGGTGGTGAGCTGGGACGGGGAAGCGGGACCCGCGCCCTGTGCCCAGGCACGGCACGACGAGGCCATCAGCGGCCGCGCCTAGCCCGGGGAAATGGCGGCCATCTGAGCGCTGCTGGGGAAAGCAACCGAAGGGTCGGGCCTAGGGGTTCAAAGCTGCCGGAAGGCCTGAGGGTGCAGGGGAGCCCGAAGTAATGTGGGCTGTGCTAGGGCACCCAGAGGCAGGGAGAGAGCAGAGAGGGTCCCTGCGGGCACCAGGCACAGAGGGAACTGGAAGGACTGGGTAGAAGTCTCCGCGGTGGGGGTGGGGGTGGGAGCTCCTGGAGGGCACAGGGGCCTGGTGGTGACCGGGGTGCAAAAAGTCACAAGCACACTCACTATTTTCTTCCACTTCATCCTCCGATTCTGGTACCACGTCTTCACCTGCAACTGGCTCAGGCCCAGGGATTCAGCGAGATCTATTCTGGAAAGAGCATGGTGCACCTTCAGCAGGGCTAGCACCCCCTCCCACCACCCACTGGGCTCAGCCTGGCCCCGTGGCTACCTGTCCGGCGTGGAGAGGTACTTCTGCTTCTCAAAGCGTTTCTCTAGGCCCATCAGCTGCAGCTCCGTGAACACCGTGCGGCTGCGACGCCCCTTCTTGGCCTTGGCGCCCGGATCCCCGGTGCCCGGCGTCTCCAACTTCCCACGGAGCTGCAGCTCAAGAGGCAGGTGTGGTGTGCCAGGGGCGCCGGGCAGTCCAGGCCCTGCTGCCAGTAACGCCGAGCCTAGCCCAGAGCAGCCCAGCGGCGCCAGAGGGAACTTAAACACCGCAGCCTGCTCGGCTTTCAACACGGCTGCAAGGACAGAGAGTGGGGAGCCGGTGAGCTTGGGCCGTGCTCCTCCTCCTGGAGCCCCCGCACTGTGCGCCGTGGGAGTGCTCGCCGCACTTGGCCAGTGCCACCCAGCACAAAACTTTCCTGTCTGGCCACAAAGGTCAACATTTGGGCCGCCTGCCTAGGGTGACCCTTTTCAAAGCCAGTGTCACTGCAGTCTGGGAGGGGGACCTCCCCCACCCGGGCCTCTGCCTGGTGTCCCCCAGGCCCCAGCAGCCTCCGGGATTCTCAATGAATAAAGTCGGGGCTCCGAGAAGCACAGTGTGTCTTTCAAAGAAAAGGGAAAGCAAGAAGAAATGGCAGTGAGTCAGGAAGGTGAGCGTTTGCCCCAACCAAGTTGGCATCGCTGTGTCCCGAAACCAGAATGTTAACCGCGTGAGCGCGTCTGCTCCTCTGTGCCCGCGCCACAGCCACGCGGCGGGCAGGCGGGGGTCGCTTGCGGGGGTGAGGTTGGGCGCTCCCCAGAGACTCCAAGCATCCCCCCGCATCAGCAAATTGTCCTTCCTGTTTTCTCTGTTTAGACTCTTCCCGCAAAGACGTTTCCATTTTTCATTAGTCCTATGAGGACGATTTTTTTCCCCCCCGCTTCAAACGAATTGTTAACAACAGTGCAAAGAGCCGCGGAGAGGCTGCATTAGAGCTGTATGAAAACGAACAAACTGGCCCTGCGGCCCTCCGCGCTGGCGGGGCCTGGGCCTGAGGGTCTTGGGTGCAGAGCAAGGCCATTTGCAGGGCGGGGCTCCTGCTGGGATGTAGGCGGCCTCCCTTCCCCGGCAGGCATCTCACTGGGGCCGCAGAAGCTCGCCCGCTGGAGTCCGCCAGGGCCAGGCAAGGTGCCGGCAAATGTGAGGAGGGTACGAGCGATCCTTGGGGGAAGGTGGGACAGGGAGGGCAGACAGACCCCATCGAAAAGTCCACGGATGGGTGGAGAGAGACCGGGAAAGGCCAGAAGAAGAAGGGGTACCGAGAAGAGAACCAGCAGGAAAAGGCAGGATCGGCCAAGGAAGGAAGAGAACCGATGGCGGCCGAAAAAGCCAGAACAGGCAGCTCAAGATCCCAGGAGGCCCAGCCGACCTGGAGGGCAAGGGCCAGTCGGGCAGCGGCTCACAGCCAGGCCTCTTGTCCCCAGGCGAGGCCCACGGGCAGCGGTGCTGCGGCAGACGCCGTGGCTCCCCCACCTGAGTCCCCGGAACCAGCGTTAGCCCCCAGCACAGGCCTTGGAGACACGGGCTTCTGCCCCAAAGGTCCGGCTTCCCCGCCGCGGGCAGCCGCGGCCACTCCCGACCAGCCCTCTGCGGCTCGGGCCCAGGAGCCCGAGGCCTGAGGTCGCTCTGACCCGCAGTCTGACAGTCGCAGTCTGGTCCTGCGCCCGCGCTGGCGATGCGGGCTCGGGGCCCCGACCGGAGGCCGCGGGTCGGCGGTGAAGGAGAGAGCGGGCGCCCTCGCAGCCGGCCCGCCCGCGGGCACCAGGCCTGCTTTCTGCGCGGCCCGGCGCCTGCTCCTCGCTTCCTCGGCTGGAGCGCGCCCTGGGAGCGGCCGGGCCTGTGCGCCCAGAGCTGCGTCCTCGAGGCGGCGCGGCTCGCTCCCCACAACGCCCGGCCCCGCACGTACCTAGGTGGCTGTGGAAGGGCCGCGCGGCCAGCAGCGCCTGCACGCCGAACTTGAGCAGCTCGCCCGCCGCGGCGGCGGCGGCGGCGGCGGGCGCGGCGCCCTTGGGCCCCGGCGGCTCGGTGAGGATCTCCTCGATCATGAAGCTGCGGTAGCGATGCGGCGGGTGGTCGGCGCAGCCCTCGGGCGGCCCGAAGCGCGCCGCGCCGGGGTCCCCAGGCCGCTGCATCGCGGCGCCCGCGGCTCGGTGGCGGTGGCGGCTCGCGCGCGGGGCCCGCGCGGGGCTCTAGGCCGGCCCGCAGCTCGGGGCGGTGCGCGGGCACCGGCTCATGCCCCCTCCCCCCGCCGGCCGGCCGGGCGGAGGCGCAGGGCGCGGGCGGGGCGCGCGGGGCTCGGCCGGTCGGACCCGGGACTGCGCCCCCGCCCCGCGCCGCCGCGCCTCTAGCCCGGCCGACCCCGCGTCACCGCCCCGCCCCGCCCCGCCCGGCCGCCCCGCCCCGCCCCGCCCCGCGCCGCCGCCCCCACCCCCCAGGCCGAGCCCGAGGGAGGCCGGAGAGGGGAAGGAGGCGGGAGGGAGGGGGCCGCGAGAGGGGCGGGCCGACGAGGCCGAGGGGACCCAGCGGAGCGCACGCCCAGGAAGGAGAGAGCGGGAGAGCTCGGAGACCAGACCCCCAGAGATGGGAGCGGAGGGTTCGAGAGAGAGGTGAGAGAGGGGCGGGCGCGAAACAGCGAGGCCACACAAGACGCGAGACAGAGATGAGAGGGTGCCACGGACGCCGAGGCGTGCGCACAGAGAGGCCGGCGGAAGCGCGGGAGCCAGCGGGCCGCGACGTGCCGGAGGGCACAGAGGCAGGCACGGCTGGGCAAGGGGCAGTAAAGAAAGACCGGGGACAGCTAGGAAGGCAGCGGCCTGGCCAGAGGTGAGGGAGCCCTGGAGAGGTCGGGGGAGGAGAGGCAGAGGCCGCCCAGCTTGGCTGGGCGAGGAGTAGCCACGCGCAGCCTCCTGGCCCGCGCTCAGAGCCACCCGCCAGGGTGGGGTGCAGCAGCAGGCAGGGGTGCAACTCTCAGAGCAGCGGCCGCACCTGCGCACTCCCGCCTCAGTTTACCAGACATGGCCTCATCTGTCCTGAGCTGCCCTGAGAGGTTCTCCAGCCGGGATTTGCTAATATTGCCAAGTGATGCAGGGGCACATCCTCCTCGGAGATCCCCCTCCTGTGGGGTGGGTTCTGTCCCCCTGCTTACAGGAAGAGATGGATGCCCAGGAAGGAAATGCGGCAGCTCCACCTTTTCCCAGCTTTAGAGTAAGAGCACAGGGCTGAGCTGGATGAGGGGCCACAGGGTGCACTGGGAGTCTGGAGACAAACTCTGGCATCGCCCCTACTGGTCTCTGAGACTTGGAGTCCCCCCATATGATTGAGGGAGGTCCAGCCTTCCCTGGCTCCCCTTCATCACTGCAGAAATATAAACCCAGGCTGTGGGGTGAACAATCTCCCCAGCTCTCTGCTGAGTCTCTCTCTCCTTGGCTCTGCGACTCCTGGCAAGCCACTGCCCCTTCTGGGCCTCAGCCTCCTGACCTGTCCTGAGGAGCTGCTGTTGCAAGGCTCCAGGGAGGCTCTGATGACTGAATAGGGGGTCCTGCACTCCTGTGCCCCACAGGTCTGCTGGGGAGGAGTGCACAGTTTGTCTGGGCAAGAAGGGTGGGTTGTCAGTGGGGTGGATGTGTGTCTCTGGGAGGCTGGGAAGAGTGCCAGCCCTCCTCTCCCATCCCTCTGCCGAGGTCCTGGACCACTTCTCCCACTATGTGAACTCTGACGTCCTCTGTGTTTGCTTCTGGGAAATAGGGCCTACCATACCCATGGCCCTACTCTCTGCAAGTTGATGCAATTTCTCTAGCTCCAGCTGCTGACAATGAGATCCTGAGGCCAGTCCCAAGCCCTGGCACCTGCCCTAGACCCTTCACGAACTACGAGATGGCCAAGACTCTTTGTCCATAGGGACAAAGAAAATGTCTTACCAGAGGCTCTAAGATCCCAGCTGCCTCCCCTCACAGTGGCTGAGTGACTTTTGCTAGGGCTGCCCCTTCCTGAACATAACAGCCATCATCAGGTCTGAAAGGTGGCCTCCAGGTGCTCCACGTGTGGGTGGTCCTGTGAGTCACATGGTGGTTGTTTGGAAGGGGACAGTGTGGGACCCACTGAGAATGACAGTATCCCACACGAGCAGGCCTCCCTCCCAGTGAGAGGTGGTACGATGGTGGGTGGGGCCACGCTGCCACAGTGCAAGAGAGAAAAGCCAGTGTCTCGTGCAGTGCTGGGCAGCCCTGGACTGCACTGGCCCAGAGGCCGAGGGGGCAGGGCTGGTTTGCTGTTGCTCCCTGCATATATCAGCATCACACCCTTCCCTTCTCAGCTCCCCCCACCCCTGTAGGGCCCACTGACCCCTGCCACCTCCCCCTCCAGCCCCTTCTCCCCCTCCCCCTCCATCTCCTCCTCCTTCCTGCTTCAGGGTCTTTCCAAGGGCATAGCCTGGGGGTGTTTTCGTTGGAGGGTTAAGCCCAGACACCCCCATTCCATCCCTTCACTCCTATTTGGGCCCCTGATGGAAGCTGCCCAGCTTTGAACATCTCTTCCCCATTCAATTGCTATTCTGGGGGAGGGGGGGGAGCGGGGTCTCAGGTTCTTTAGATGAAGACCCGTTGGGAGTCATATTGGGTATTGAGCAGCCCTCACCAAACCCATGTGGTCCCCAGTTGGCCTCCTAGGTCAGGCTTGGGGAAAGGAGGTCATTTTCAGGGTGAGACCTCATCTCTAGATTTGGGGGAGTCAGAAGACCAGCGCTGCCCAGCCCGCACCTCATTTCACAGGTGCCAAGGCCCAGAGAGCCTCCCCCAGCTCTTTGGACACCCTCCAGGACTCTTTCTCAATGGCCCAGCGAGGTCTGCGGCGCGGGGAATGAGGCCCCGGGGCTCTTTGGGGAATGCCCTTCGGGAAGCAGTCGGAGGCCTCGGCCGACGCAAAGTACTGAGGGAGCCTGGCCCGGCACCCCCTCAGACTACCCCCAGGGGGGGAAGTCCTCTGACCTCCCTCCGCCGGACGAGGTCTCCCCGCGCGGCACGATCCCAAAGCAGACCCGCAGATAAACCCCTTTTAGGCGAAAACAATGCGCGCGCACAGCGGCTGGGCCTCCTCCGCTCGGAAACTGCAGCGTTGTTAGCCGGCAAAGGGTTCCCAGCGGGTCCCTCCTCCCGGTCCGAGCCTCGCAGCCCCCACTCCAGGGGCGCAGCAGCCGGGCCAACGCCTGGGACCCGGCAGGGGCCTGCAGCCGCTGCCGCCGCGAAAATCCCGGAAACCGTCCGCTCGCGGCGCGCGCAGTGGAAAAGGTGACCTCAGCGCGCGAGGCCAGCCACCCTCTCCAGCGGCGGGCGGCGAGGGGCTTCGGGTGGCGGCGGGGGGGGGGGGGGGGTCCCGGCGCCGCCCCGACGCCGGCTGGGCCCCTTTCCCCCACTGCTCTGCCCTTCCGGACCCCACAGCCGAGCTGCAGGGGAGACGCGGGAAGGGGGTTACCTCCCTCCCTAACCAGTCCCCTCAGCCCGGGTGCGCAGGTTCCAGACTCTCCCCCTCCGCCAGCCAAGCCGCCCCCGCCCCCGGAGGCTCCCGGTGGGATTCAGGAGTCGTTCGCCTTAGGGGTCCTAAGTGCAGACGGGGTCGCTGAGAGTCGAGTGCGCAGGCCTGGGCGAGATCGGCGGCCCGCGGCGGTGTTTCTGCAACGCCTGGAGGGTCCTGGGACCAACTCCCCTCCGGCCCCCACCTGACCCCCACCCGTGTCCTGGCGCCTCCTCTCCCACTGGCCGCGGGTTTGGGTCTTATGCGGCAAAACGGCGTGGGGCGGGAATGGAGGGTAGGTTGCTCTGGACCAGTCGGCTCACCTCCGAGTGCAATCGCCCAGCAGCCGCCTGCGGGGAGTCCCACACCTCCTCCCGGTCCACAGAGCGGGAAACCGAGCCCCGACGGGCCTGCAGGCCCCGGGGGCCCCCTGCAGCCCCCTGCCCGGCGCCCCGCTCAGGCCTCCTTCCCGAGCACGCAACGCAGCTTCGGCGCCCCGCACGCGGGGCATCCTCCTCTCCCCACTTCGCTCCGGGGAGCCTTCAGCTCTGATGGCTCCCGGCCCGGGGCCCGCAGGCAGTGGCGGCGCCCGCATTCGCTCGATCTCGGATGCGCAGCGCCGGGAACGCGCCGTCCGGCTTCGGCCTGCGCTCTGCTCTTGCGCCTAGTGCGTGGATCCGAGACTGGCGGCCTCTGTCCTGCCTTCTAAGCGGAAAATCTCGGGGTCCTCACGCTCGCGGGTCACATCTCCCAGGGACTGCCGAGTTACTTTCTCGTTGGAGAAGCTGGTCTCTGTGGCGCCTTCCTTTACGAAAATTTCGATGTCAAGTGGTGGACTTTTCGTTTCGGATCATTTCAAACCCCTGTGAGCTCGGGGCTCAAATCAGGTTTTGAGACAGCGACTTAAGACACATCCCTCCCTCTTCCCTTCAAATTATCCCTTTTCGGGTATTTTACAAACTCGCTCCTTTGGAGTGCGTTACTTTATTTTTGTTTTGTGGTTATTTTTCTTAAACGTGTGGTTTTCTTTAGAAGTGTGAATTTTAAAAGATTATAGGCAGGTAATAACGGGCCCGACCCAGCGAAGACCCAGGGCGACCTTGCTGGACAAGCACAGACACCAGCTGCCTCCGCTTCACGCCCACCCCTCGGTCGGGCGGCTCCCGCAGGGACCTTGGATCCCAGTCCAGCTGCGCGGACCAGCGCCCGAGTCCACACCCAGGGCCCGGAAGCGGTGGCCGCTGGGGCCTCGGTTCGATGGGGCCCAGACGCGTGTGCCCAGCTGCTGGGCACCCGCGGGGAGGCCGGATGTGGGCAGTCTGGGGGGACTCGAGATGTGCCCTGCGCTTTGGGCGCTGCGCACCGGAGTGAAGGTGCCAGGCCCCGCGGAGATTGGGTCTGACTCCTGCGGGGTGCGCGTCGGGACCACGTTCGGACTCGGAGCCGCTCGGCCTTTGGGGAGAGCGAGGGTCAGTGCAGGCCGCCCGCAGGGCCCTTGTGGCTTCATCCCGGCAGGTGCCAGGTCGCCCACTCACCCGGGTCACTGGTCTTGGAGTCGGCAGATAAGGAGAGGCCCCGGGGCAGAGGCCGGATCCCTCCCGCGCCCCGGGCCAGGTCTCCTTTCTTTCGTTTTCTTTGTCCTTCCTTCCTTTGCTTTCCCGCTTCTCCTCCCTCACTCCATTCAGTACCCCTCTTTCTTTCTTATTTTACTTTCGGCTCATCCTTCTCCACCTCGCCCACCTTCTGCTCTTGCCCTCGGGCTGATGCTTCCTTCTGCTCCTC